ACAGTACGTGATTATGTACGTGATTATGTACGTATGTTCATCAGTTGTGCAAAATTCAAAATAAACATGAGGTAAAAATATGTTTTTTCCCTTATTTCGAATGTATTGTCAGTGGTCTTATACCCTAAAGAAAACTTATATAACTGGTGTAGTGAAGAGATATTGTTTCTAACTTACTTAGATTTTCTAAAATGTTGGACAAAAAATTATGCATATAAACACCCCCCTTCTAATAAGTCTGCACAATTCGAATATGGCGATGAAAAATGTGATACGGAGATTGTCTTCTTTCTTAAGCAGCATTTGTATGCCTCTAAAATTTTCACAAAGATTAATTCTGTTCTTATAAAGAGGTTTGTTGTTTCAGTTTTGTGAAAAAAGCTTTTATTTGTGTTCAAATAAATTTTAAATGATTTGGTCGACCGGTTCGGAAGAAATAAATTAAACAGTTCTTTTTACGAAAACTTTAACAGCCTGTGTGAATTTTGTTCTTAGTATTTACAGTATTTTTTTACGTGTGTTGTATAATTCAATGCTGAAGTAGTTGTCTCCTGCAATATTATTAGTTAAATTAAATCGTTTTACAGCTTCTTACTCTCTTTTATTAACACAATGTAGAAAGTAAGTGTAGAGTGTGTTGCATAAGTGTGTACAAAAAAAATCAGGACTGCATTGCTTGGAAATTTTTAAGGGGGTCTTTAATAACCATTTTTTTAATTGAAGCCTCCCCTAAATAGATATACCGTTCATACCGTATTTTGCAACGCTCTAAAAAATAAGGACAATACAAAAGAGACAAAAAAGTTTCTGAATAAACAAAGGCATCTTAAAGTATTATTTCGCTTAAGAAATCTAAAAGAAAAAAAATATATAGAAAAAACACGAAAAGGGTGGTTGACGCCACCACCACCTTATCATTCTATCACGGATTAATGTTAAAGGACCCCGCACAAATCTTATGGAAATTGGGTCCCGGTCAAATTCGCTGAATTTTTGATATGTGATAGAGTTCGTTATACTGGTCAATTGTCTCAATGGCCACAAAGCTCAAAAATGGATAGTTTGGCCGGTACAGAGCTTTAAAGCTCCGAATATCCTCCACGGATTTATGTACCTGTATATGCGCAGTGTGTATAGACTTTTGAAATAGCCTATTTAATTTTTTTTATTATCTAGGTTTATATTTTTGAGGTTGCTGAATTCAGATCTGTTGTTAGATTTTCAAAATTGACAGTTGGCAGCTGTCAAATAGCTGTCAATGTGCTATAATAAAGCCAAAAACTTGTTTTTTATGTTTTATCTTTCTTTTTTTTTAGTTCGATAAGTTCAAAGACGATATCAAATCAATAACAATGACTATCGGCAGCTGTCATTTAGCTGTCAACAATTCTTCAAAGTCCGGTAATAAAGTCAAAAAATTATTTTTTGTTTATAACTTCAAGTTTTTTAGATAAGTGAATATAAATATGATATAAAATTATGTAGTCATCAGCTTACAGCTGTCAACAAGCTGTCAACTAACTGTCAAAATGCAATAATAGAGCAAGTAACTTATTTTTTGTGCTTAACTTTGTGGATAAGAAATCAAACATGATATAAGTTTATGACATCACTTTTGAACTCAGTGATCTAAGCAACTTAAAGCTTTTTAAAAAAAG